GATTGAATCATCTTACTGTTTACACATCAACTTATTTCCAGCCCCTGCCAAGGGATATTGCAAAAATAATTAATTAATAAAGTGTATTATGTGAATTCTTCAGCGGTTGAGGTTTCACTGGTGTATAGAATGTCCATAAAGAACATACGTTTCTTTATTAACTTATTACTCTATAACTACCTAGTACTAAAATTTCAAGGTAAAAGTTAATAAATAATAGAACAAATATTCGTACCAGAACTCGATTGAGGTAGTTACTTTTGAATATGTTATGTTCCCTGTTTTATTTATATCCCATTTTTTCAATCGTTGGTGTCTAATTTTTTGTTTTCTGACCTAATCGTTGGTATGTCAAAGGTTTAGGTTAAAGTTAAGTTAAAGATTGTTCAATTTTTTAAACACATTTAAAGTGTTGGCAGCATTTCGTTTTTTGTTATGGTTTTATACTAGACCCGACTTATCAGTTTTTAAATACTTCATGTAGACACCCATGATTTAAAACGAAATATTAATGGAATCTTAGAGGTTGTAATAACTTTGCTAAGAGTCTTGCGAGACTCTTGGTCTTCAAAAACTTGTTTGCCAGTTTCAAATCATTTAGACGTATTTTATCATTTTGTGAAAACAATTGAATTTATTTATATTTAATCGAATTAAAGATCTGAATTAAGTATCTGATTTTCATTATTGTAAGTAGTCATAGTAAAGCTGGTTAAGATTATATTAGAAATAAACGTAATTTTTATTTATCCTTTGACAACCTGTATCTCAGAAGCGTTTAACTTTCAGTTAAATTTAGTTAGTTAAATTCAGTTAATTTCAATAATATTTCAGCGAATTTTGATACATCAGCTGAGGACCACCCTGTCACAGGGTGATTCAAAATAGTCGTCATTCCTCTGGAAGTGTTGTCTGGGGGGGTTTTAGTACAGGAAAAAAATAGTTAAAAAAATAACTGTTATTAAAAACTGAGAAATTTGCAAAAACGATATCAGAAGGATGGCAACAATGTTTTTCAAGGGATCTCTGCCTAATTAACATTACGTAAATACCTGATACAATAATAAAATACGCATTACGTCTTAAAAAGAATGACGCCAGTTTTGAATCGTCTCTATCTCTACCAAAGAGTACCTACTGTTTGTCGATAGCAGGGACAAGGGGAAGTCTCTGTCTCTCCCTTGTCCCTGGTGTATATCTTATAAAATATTCTATCAACACGAAAGTTACAAATGTTCCAATAATTCTAGCGGAAAGTTTTTTTCGTCGCCCTGAAAGACGAATTAACTTGTGAGATAATGGAAGTTTTTGTGTTTTTACCAAAACTTCTTTAAAATAATATTTTTTTCGTATTGTCATATTATGTTATATTAATTTTATGAACGGTTTTTTGCTGAATATTTCTTGAGTTTTGCTATTTTTTATCAAATCTAATGAAGCAAACACACATATGTATGTATGTATGTATACACTATACAAGTATCAAATTGCTCTATCCAAAAGATCATTACAATTACCTGTTTCCGAGTTATGATCTCTTCAACATGGACTTACCCTAAAAGATTAACATTTTTACTTCTAACTATGAAATAATTTTAAAACGCCAAGAAAAAAAAATTAGTGAACGAGAGCCTGTCGAAAAGAACTTAAATATTTTCCCCACTTCGGTTTCGATATATAGACGAAAATGTTCAAACAATATTTAGAATCCGGCATGCGCGTATATCCTTTGAGGTTGAGAAGTTTGTTTTCCCTCTTAATCAAAATCAATAAAAAATCGAAATTGATAAGACAAGAGTTGTCACCATTTGATATTTTTGATTCGACCAACGTTAGCTCGAAATTTCTGATATAACTATAGAAGTTATATAAAAAAGTTGTTATACAAAAAAATGTAATGGCTAAATGGATATTTCGAACTGTTTCTGCGGTATATGGCGGCAAAACAGCCTATATCTTTGAGGTCTACCGAAAGATTTTTTGCTGAAACATTTTTGTTTTTATCTCTGGTTAGGAATTCTTCGTGGAACCTAATTCAAACTTCTTCTTCTTCAAACCTTCAAACTTTTCGACACTTTGAACAAAGCGAATTCCTAGACCGATCTTCAATTTTTTTTTGGACCAGCATAAAGCTGAATAAATGCCTATTCAGAAAGGTAGTTACGAAAAATGTTACCAACCGTTTTTTATATATAGAGGTGAAACAAAAATCGTAAACTTTTTGGAGGCAACGGCTTCCAAAGTTAACCAAAAGCTTTGCCATCACATGCAAACATGCTTACAAATAGAAAACACTTTTGGCCCTATATTGATTGAAAAAAGTATCGTTGGGTTTCGATCAGGATTTCTGTTTTTAAAGTTCGATATTTTTTAAGACTGCTGTAAGTAAATCCACAGCTTAAATATGATCTATAAGCTGTGGTAAAATAATAGCAAATAATTTTCGTCGAAAAGTCTCTAAATTTAGAGAATATCAATTTTTTTTTTTTAAGAGACTATTTTAAGTGTAATATTTACGTCAATAATCCTCAAACCATTGAAAACTTCAAACCTAGTATTGGCACTCAGATGTACTAATTACATATTAAGTGTTGCGCAATACTATAATCAATTTAAAACATTTTGTAAATGCAAGCTCATTTAAAATGTTGATCCACTACATTTGAAAACCGTTCTTGGACCAGTATTTTTGAAGTTAATGTCCACACAAAGTTACCTAGCACTCATTTTATTATAGTGAACCAACTTAAATATAACTAAGCTGGAGCACATTACCCCAGTATATATTTTATAACTAACATTGTAAACAAAAATAGATTATCTAATGAGAGGTAATCAAGGCGATATGAACGGTGTCTCGAGTAAAATCTCAATTTCAACTAATGTATTATTTTTATACTTTTCATCAAATAAAAATTCATTTTTAGATTTTATCAATTGCTTTAAAATCCCACTCCTATTTTCTTCTTCACAGTAATTCTCATAATACAACATGGGCAAATAGTTCGCATTTTAAGGCTTAACAAGTTGAGAGTTCCGGGTTACGTTTACATTCGAACTTGCATTTTTAGGATGCAAAATATATTGCTGCCTTTTATAAATTTAAGCGAACGATGTCACTGAAACGCCCAGACCAGGTGGTGCTTGTCCCCAACCAATTTGTGAATTAAACAGGCCTATTGAATGAATGAAAACAACCTATCGATCACGGCCAATAATCCCGGAAACCGTTATTTTGAATATATAAATGTTTGTACGTTGCATGCAGCCATATGCTACAAAATGGGCACTTTAAAGTTATATGGAGGGCTTTCAGCTAACTGCCTACCAAATTTGGGTTTTTAAATTAGAACCGTTCCTTAAATATGGCTTGTTCTGTAACGGCATTTTTTTTTAAACGAAAAAAAAAAGTTAAGAAAACTCGCAGTTGGACGGCCAATCCAATCGTGTTAAAAAAATTTGGGGTTCACATTTAAAATAAGAAAATTAGGTATTACTTTTCATACACCTTGTACCGTTTGAGGAGTACATGTATTTATTCATGGTTTCGGCACGAGTCGTTATTACCGGAACCAAAGTGCACGGTCTACATAACTCACCCTGTATAAGGTACGCAAAGGACTAACAACTCATACCTTGACTTGATTGGTATCATACAAGCACAAGAATTACAGCGGAAACCGTGTAGCGACGTAATTTTACCAAGCAAAAAATCACAAAATTTCGATTTCAAAATGTTTTTTATTTATTTTGTCTCCGCAATAATTGTTTTAGTGTCGGCAATAATACGAAGCTTTGCAACATGTATAACGTGTTGAACAATTAAGCTGGCGACAATTTGTTATTTTATTCCAGATTTTTCTTTAATTAGGCTTTAACTAAGCAGCAGTTTTGCATTTTTTTACAGCTTGCTAATAATCCCATTGCTCTCATGGTAATTTCCAGATGTGCCTAGTTTTGTTTCAGAAAAGCCTATAATATTCTTCTCCTCGGGAAAATTCTACTCTTTTCTACATATATATATATAAATAATCTTTATTTCCTACAGAAAAAGGCTATCGACCCAATCGGTCTTTCTGCCCTTGTTTAGTATATATGTGCCTTAGCCTAGCTTATTCTAAAATTAATTCCTATTCCTAYCGTTCGTATAAATTAATCAGCTATACAAAGAAAATAAAAAAAAAGTAAAAACTCCTGGCTTACAAAACAAACAGATATTAGTCCTTAGTTCAGTTGCGTTTGTAGGTGTTCTAGTAAAGTATCTGTTGGGGAACGAAAACGGGAGTGTTTTGTCGGTCTTGTGAGGCAAAGGGGATTCAGTATGGTCCAGTTGTGGGGGTTGTTTGTCCATTTTGTCTGTAAGTGTATTAGTCTTTTTCTACATATATTTTTAACTATGTACTTTTTAGTTCATTAAGATAATTTATGCAAATTGTTTGCTTAGAAGGTTTGGGATTATTATTGTTTATTTTGCCATCAACGAAGTAATTAACTGAAATGTGGATTTAAGTTCCAGTCGGTGTTGTTACGTATTGCTAAGATTTCATTTATTTTAAAATATTTAAAAAATCAGTATTGCAAAAATAATTTCACCATTATCGTGGGTTAGAGCTAAATAATTATGTAATTAGTAAACAGTTCCGGTGGTAGATCTAAAGACACTAACACACTAAAAACTGGTCATACTCTAGGCAAACCTCATGGTCATTAAAAGTTCCGTGTCTGAACAATAGAAAACTACCTGCTTTTGAATGTAAGAATTTGCCTTTTTACGTTTCATTTAATTTCACTTCTTGAAGTAGTGAAGGACAGTAAGTGCCTAGGTTTAGACTCGTCTTACCCGTAAATTCAGTCATAGAGACCGAAATATACGATCGAATTTAACCAAATTATATCGGTAATAAATCTGATCTAGTTATAAAAAGGGGGGATGTTTTACGAAATTTCTTTTGATGAAATTCGCGTTTGAAGATGGGTCTAATTTATCTGTTTGATTTCAGGACATCTGACAATGTCAGCAAACTCTCCCAACCACCTCCGTTCAGAATCTCTGGACACACACAACATAGTAACACCACAACCAGTTACTGATCCAACTATTTTGGATAGTGTCGCAGGTAAAACCGTTATTTTTTATCTTTGAAACTTTTTCCAAATTGACCATTTTTTGATTCCCAGGATTTATCAGTGACGTTGTGCCCACTACTGGTGGAGACTCCTTCGACTCTAAGGACCAAATTCAGTGGGCTAGATTTGAGAACTTGGATTTTGATGATGCCAACTCCTCATCTGCCACCGATAAAGGGCTTCCATCCAGTCTAATTATTGTTTTAGGATATTCAACAGGAGTTCAAGTGAGCACAGTAATGTCTTAAGGTTTCTTATTAGAGTTCTAACTTGTTGCCTCAAAAGGTTTGGGCTGTGCCAGCAAATGGAGAAGCCATTGAACTATTTTCCTGGCGTCACGGTGCAGTCAAAGTCCTGAGGTTACTACCGGCGCCCTATGAAGTTGGAGGTCTAAACAAACGGGACACATTTGAATCTAAACGCCCATTGATTGCCTTGGTAGATGTTTCTATGCATGGATCATCTTCTGGCTCTTTAAATTTTTGTTCTTTGAAGACCGGCGATCAGGTGAGTTTGCGATAGTCCGCCACCTCCAGCAATCCGTTCTTCTTGTTGGGAGTTTTTGGCGTTTTATAACCCGGAATTTGTAAGAAATTTTCCCGCTTAAAATCACAACGCTAACCAAGTATGAAACTGTGTTCTTGAAACTTTGGTTAAAAATCTATCCCAATGTGGAATATGCGTAGAATTTATTTTCTTCGGGAGGACTTTTATCACAAGCAAATTGATTATGCTGAAAAACTAAACAGATCGTTGTTGAAGACAATACTAATAAGCAACCTTAACACTCAAATTTTTGCCTCAACACGGCCTCAATTAAGATCCAAGCATCGAAAGCCATTGAAATAGTTTACTCAGGTGTTTCTTAATCCCAAACTTTGGAGCGAACTTCATATTAAGTAATTGTTTGAAGAAGGTTTACATCTCTATCGTTCTATAATTTTTTATCATCAAAACTTTCCTTTGACATCAAACTGTGATATGAGATCCAAAAATAGTTGCTTTCAGTCGAGTTGAGCAGTTCCGTGATAAATTTAGCAGTTTTGTGATTAAACCCATGTAATGAGATTGCGCATTGAAACCCAGGTATTCAGATCCTTGCTTTAGGAACTGAATTGAAAAAACTAATCTTTAAAACATTTACGACATTTTTTGACGCGCTTTTCGGCGGTATTTAACCACTGAACACCTCTACAGCGCCACCAAGAAGCGCTGCACAGTGGCTGGTACAATGTTTACGTGCGCTTATCAGCAACGCCACTGAGAAGCGCTGTAGAGTAGCCCGTGTGAAAAGGTGCTTGAAGTCGGCGCTGCAACGCCGGCAAAGGCAGGAAAGACAAGCACTTTCTAATAATAATAAGATATTGTATAAATAAATCGCAAAACACCAATTTTATTTAAGAAAAGACATATTAGCGGTGATCGCCGTTATTAACGTTGAGAAAATCAACCAATTGATTCCGAAAGATCTTTTCTAAACATTAAAAAAATGTGATGCAGTAATTAATGTCTTTGTTTATTATTATTATTTCAACAACACATACATATAATCTTGAATTTTTTTCAACAAGTATCGACTGACAATAAAATTCATTAAAAATATCTATTATCGAAAGAACAGGAAGGCTTCGATTTGTGATTTGTTCCTGGTGGTTGATTAATGGCAAAAAACCTGACGTGTCGTCGGGTAATCTCAAATCCGAGACACTCGCTGGTCGCTGAATGCGGCGGTGACGGAGCCGGTGGTCTGTATTCAAGCGCCTCGCTTCTTGCGAGAAGGATGCGCTCAGAGTCCGCGGATGGCGTGATTTAATTCATGAGCCCTAATTTCGTTCTCGGCGTGGTACGAATCCGCACCAATGGTGAGGCGTAGAAAGGCGCGGAAATCCCGCAAAACATTCACTTGGCGATCGCGTTTAGGGAAACCCGAACTTACTCTAAAGAGCCGTTGCTCTGAGTGGAACAAGATGGCGCTCACGAAAGATTATCCGCACCCGAATAGGTGAGCTCATCGACTGATCCCGAAGTTTTTTTTTTGTTGAAGTGATAACTTTTTATGGGAGGGTGAACCGATTTTTCTCGGTCACGGCGGCTCCCACTCCGGCCTCTTCGCGCCTGAGGCCTGCGGCTTGGGACGCACATATGCACTTTGAATTCGACATTTTTCTCTTAGTGCGGGTGCATCTGTAGATCTGATAAACTTTTCAAATACACATTGCGTTATTAAACTGACAGTGATTTTGATTTATCAATTATTGAGTGTGATATTATTGTGTTCGGTGCAGTTTATTTTATAACGCTCAAGATTAAGTGCAAATAAAGTGTCACAACTATTATTAATAACTTTTAATGCAATAATATGTTATTTTATTTTGTAACAACAAATTATCAATATTTAGATATCCATTTTGTAATCTTTCATATTTAACATGAAATGATAAACATCATTACTGTTTTGTAATAACATATAATAAATATGTTTTGAATTTAATTGAAAAAATATTTAAGTTTACCTCGGTTATTTCAGGAAACATGGGTTCCGTCTTCTTATTTTCTATCCCGCAACGCATTCTTGATGTTAAGACGATACGAATCTCCCTTCAGCTTATAGTGGCAAAATGTGTAAAACGAGTTTATTAGGGTTTATATTCAATTTTCTATATTATTTCTATGATTAATTGTGTTTACCGCGCATGGATGGAGCAAATGGATTTTTTCCCTTCATATACCCTTTGATTCCTTTATGATTAAATCTTCTCAATTTAGTTTAATTTTTTTAGCCTTGGATTAGTTCAGTTAGAATATTTTTTTGAACATACGCGCGATGGCTTACATTATGTATACATATAGTGTGTCAAGTGTATCCTGACTATAGCTCTTCCTCGTTTTACCGTCCATTTTAAACAGATAGAACGTCTTCCAATCACCAAAATTAATTGGTTTTTTGGTCCTATTCAGATACAAGTTGTAGCAGACGTTCATGAACAACATACACAAGAGCAGTCACAAAAACATGCTATAATGCGAAAATATTAGGTAATGCTGAACGCCAAAAACGATTTCATGCTTAAAAAGGACCATTAAGTAATAATTCAACTCAAAGTAGCTTTCATCAACCACGAACTAGTGCTGAACGTCAAAGATTATACAAAGCAAATAAGAAATTACGACAAAAATATACAGAAACTCAAGAAGAAGAGTTTACACAAACCCAAGAAGAGCAATATGTACAACATCTCGTTAAAGAATGTTAAATGTTGCAAATAAAAAAAATATTTTACATTCAAAAGGCAATTAAATTAAATTTACCTATTCCTGATCCATTTATAAATTATTAGACTAACAAGAATATTAAAATTTAAAAATAAAATTATTATTGCCATTATACGTTAAACAAGTTCAATATTTTATGGTTTCTATTAATTTATGAAGTTATCACTTCTGTCGAGCGTCCCGTGACGCACGCCATTTTTTTGCCTGGCGGCGGCTGGAGGATAAAAATCTTCACGAATACACCCAGTGTCCCGTGACACTGGGTAGTGTTGGATTTCTACCATCTAAAAAACCCCCGTTTTGACTTCAAGTTTTCGGGAGTTGTCCTTTGAGACTTGCGGTCTTCTGTAAGAATGGTTCAGCTCTGGCATCCGTATGCCTTTACATCACATTCTCTCTATACTAGCTATCTGCTAGTATGGTCAGCTTACTAATTTAACACAAGCACTACACAACACTACTTCTATCACATTATTTTAACTATGTTTCACACTTACAGCGCTTGCAGTTAACTGCTTTACCTATTGCCCTGTTGGGCCATCTGGTGCCTCGGCCTCTTTTTCCTGGGCCCGGCATCGTCTCGTGAGTAATCTACGGCATTCCGTAGCTTAGCAAAGGGGTGGTTTTCGGCTTTTTCTAAGGTCGAGGCAGCTTTCCGTTGCAGGAAGTCTCTCAGTGGCTCCCACTCCAGGTTCCTGTAAATTTGACTATTACGTACAAACCAGGGAGCATCTTTGGCCATCCGCAGAAGTTTATTTTCTGTGGCCTGAAGCTCTCTCAGGTATGTTTCTGCCGCATACCCCCACACTGTGGAGGCATACGTCATTGCCGGCCTGATGACACTCTTGATGAGCAGGAGTTTGTTCCTCACACAACATTGCTGTTGTAGCCTTTGCCTTGTTGATTGCTGTCGTCACATGTTGCCTCCAGCTCAGCCTCGTATCTAAAACAACACCTAATTACCTGACATTATTCGCCCATTGTACCTCTTCTCCGTCAAGATTGATGTTTCCAACAATCCTGTCACGTTTCCTTCCAATAAGGATGGCCTGGCTCTTTGTTGCGTTAACCTTCACTTTCCATTTGATGAACCACTTTTGCAGTTCATCTGCGGCAAGCAGTAAGTTCCGACGCACATGCTCTTTTCGCCACGAGGATGACATGAGAGCTGTGTCCTCCGCAAAAAGAGCCAGGGTCGAATTGGAGGTCCTTGGGATGTCACTGGTAAAGATGTTGTATAGCATCGGAGAGAGTACCGCTCCTTGTGGCACTTCAGCTTCTGTGCTTCTGTCCTCTGACCTGTAGTTCCCAACTTTTACGCTGAATGTCCTTCTGCAAATGTAACTGTCGATTAACTGGCACATTTTCTCACTAATACCTGTTTTCATCATTTTATAGATGAGTCCCTTCCTCCACACTCTGTCGAAAGCTCTTTCGACGTCCAGAGCTAGGATGCCGGTTGTCCTCTTCTGGTTCATCTCCTTGGCGCACCCTTTCACAATCCTGAGCAGCTGAATTTCAGTGGAGTGTCTCGTTTCCCTCGTGAGCCTCCGCAAGATAACTCTTTCCGCTATCTTGCCAAGGCTGGACAACAGACTGATGGGCCTGTAGTTCTGAGGGAAAGTCCTGTTCTTCTTGGGCTGCGGGAGCATAATGACGTCTGAGTGTTTCCAGATGCGTGGGAAGTGTCCAGTTCTAAAAATGGCATTAATGAGATTTGTGACAGCTACCAGTCCTTTTCTCGGCAAGCTCTTGAGCATTTTATTTGTAATTCCATCTCTCCCAGGGGCTTTCCTCGTCTTCGAGTGCCTGATGATGGCTGCCACTTCTGCTGGTGAGGTTGGAGGGATACAGCTGTCCGCTGTCTTTGCTCGGAGGTTCCAAACGGCCCTTCTGACGATTCTCTCGTGCCCGTCTTCTTCGTCTGGATGGTTGCTTTCCCTGGCCTCGCTCTCGATGGTATCTGAAAAAGCTTCACCTTTATCCTTGTTAGTATATACCAGACCTTGCAATCCGTGTAAGGCTGGTATATTGGTGACTTCTTGTCTAAAGGCCTTTTGGATTCTCCAGATGCTTTGGTCGTCTGGACCAATCTCCCTGATGCGTCCCTCCCATCTCTGGTTTCGGTGGTCCCTAAGGGCCTCCTTCAGAATCTGCCCCTGCCGGTTTAGGGCAATTCTGTTAGCCGCTGTGGGCTGTCTTCTATACATCCTGCGCAGCCTTCTGTGGTTGGTAATTTTTCTGCGAAGGTTTGCTGGTAACTCGTCACGAGCCACCGGCACCTCCGCAGTCACCGAACTTCTAGCGTGTGCTTGAAGGATTGTCTCACCGAGGCTTCTTGCCGCTGTTTCCAGATCTTCTTTGGTTGCTATCTGTGGGATCACAATCAGATCATGTAATACATTCGTGAACATAGACCAGTTGGTGGTAGTTCTTGATTCAAGAAGCGGAGTTGTTTCTTCATCTCCACAACTCAATATAATTGGGTTGTGGTCCCCTCCTCTATAGTCTCAATGGATACCACCTGCCGGATGTTCTTAACAATGGCAATGTCCAACACCTCCGGTATTCCAACTCCTGTTGGAAT